CCTAATATTTTAGATTTAAATTTGAAGCAGAAAGTTACTAATAAATATGAATCCAAATTCAAAAACAAAATCTTTAGTCGACTTCACTCACTCTACTGAACTGAAAATTTTAGTTGATTAATTAATTCAATAATTATCAAAGGATCAAGAAGTAAATTGTTATTAGATGAACTGTCAAGATGAAAATCAGGTTTTACTAACACTTGCGGTAGATATTATCACATGTGTACTCTGAATTTATATCCATCAGGACGACATTCATTTATGATTTAGTTAATTAACAAATAATTGAAAATTTGATATAAAACTCTATCATATTGCTATATTAACAATTAAACATATTTATTATCTGATACAATTTGAACTTTTAAATTTAAAAATCCTTGAGATTTATAGAAGTTTGTAATGGTATTATATTTCAGAAAATGTACTCACATGAGTTTTTCTCTCCGATTAGCTATATCACGTATTAAGTGTGCTGATCAAAACATTCACCATTGCTCTTTGATAATAATAATATTGTATACCGAAATATCTACTATTGACATTACTTAAATGTATAGTATAAAGAAAAAAAAAATCTAATTAGAGATTCTCAAGGCTCTATAAAGTCATATTTTTATTCACATCATATATATGCAATTTTGCTTACAATTTAGCTATTTAGTTTTTAATCTTTTAATTGATTGGATAAAATAAATATATTAATCAAAGTGTTATAACTAGTACTTTAAACTCTCGTGTCAAAATTTCAATATTTAAGATATAATGTAAATTATTTACAAATTTATTCTTTTAAATTATATAAATAAATACAAAATATTAGAAAAAAAAAAATTTTTTAAATACCAAAAAAACCTACACGACAAATTAAAAAGCATGTCTTTTTAACCTATTTTATATTATTTTTAAGTCCAAATAATTAATACTGAAGAAGGAGTTAGATTTGAAAAATTTATCACTTTCGTATAGTAAATTCCTATTTAAAAATAATCTTCATTTGTGTAATAATCTGATCATATAAAAAACTGTCCTAATTGGTTTAATTAGAGGTCTATACCGATTTTTGTCACAATTAGTTGATCAAACATCCCAGCGAGGATGTAATTGCCACATATTACAGGTTTGTATTGTATAAAAAAAATTAGTATGTATAAATTATTTTTTCTTCTGTTAATATATAAAATGATAAAAAATCATAATATATATACGAATAAAAAAAGACAAAATCATTTTGAAAAGTGGCACATCTTTAGAGGGTGGAAATATGGATATAAGGTTTGTGACGAATGCAATCATCACTCACATCTATATTGCAAAGCATGCAAAAAAGTAGCAGATAGAATATATGAGCAATGTGAATGTGAAAATTCTTTAAGGAAAGAGACAAATAACTAACAAAATTAGCGATTTGGTCATTATACGTACATATGTACATACATAATTTTCATAATTTGTCACGTAATAAAGATATTAGTGTTTAGAATAAATTAGTAGTGTTTGGTGATACTCTTTATTGCTTTTTTCGTAAAATTTTGATGATCTTAATGTTTGCTTTTGGTAATTGATTTTCTTCAGGTTAACTTTTTTGAGTAATTTTAGGTTTTACGAATTTCTACCGATTGTGAAAAGGGTATCTCTAACGCTAGAGCTATTCGCTTTCGCAGTGCTTCGATGTGCTGCTTTTATTGCTATAGCTAGTGCTAGCGCTCAAATTTTTTTGGTTCTCAAACAGATGTTGATTATATATCAAAAAAATGCCTATTATTTGCTAAAAATAATCACTATATAGTTACTGAAACAGAAGCATATTAACATCAGATACATATGTATTGATCTACAAATTGCATAAATTATATTCTTGATATGTAGAATACTATTTCAGATAGGTACTATATGCAGCGCTATGCGGTATCTGGAGTTTAGAATGATCAGAAATCACCTATTCTATCTAGAGACAGGACTCGTCTCAACTTGTGGTTCATGAATTACGTGCAAGAAAGTACTTAAAACACTTGATTGAGTCAATTTATTCAAATCGCAAAATTTAAATTACAATTCATAGTAGCAGATATGGTGCCTCTGGAAATAATAGAGGTTTTATAATTAAAAAAAATAGTGCATTTCTGGAGTTTAAAAAATCTTATTTGTGTATCGAATAGGAGTATTAAAGTCTCCTATTTAACGAAATAAATAAACTTTTCAATGACTAAGATCATTTCAAATTTATCAGAAAATGAAATAAAGTTATACATCACTCATTTGAAAATGAACATATCATCTATTTCTGTCAAAATTAGATTTCCACACTTTAGTTTTGAAACTTCTAATCTAGTGTTAGGAAACCACTCTAGTATACCCCCAAAAAAAGTTACGAAACTGAGTTTAAATATTTCAAAACAAAGTTCCATTTTCAAAATTACAAAAATTATAAGTCTTACGCTTTACTGAATAGTAGAAAAATTATATTAAAAATTTATATACACTACACACAATTTAAATTAGAAATAATTTATTCAACACCCGGGTAAGTTATTCACCCCCTTAAGTACAAAAGGGAACCCCAGTCATGTTAATATATTAGGATTAAAATTAAGGTTAGGGTTAGGGTTAACCTAAAGTAAAATTGCGAGAGGAACATTTTTGCTTATATTATATGATAGGGTTACCTTAGTAAAATTTTGAGATATTGGCATTTTTTCAAATTTTGTTATAGAGGGGTGAGCAATATCAAATCTCACCCCAGGTGAGGAATAAATGTACTCTTTAAATTATATATATGTATTAATCGTTCCATTATAATCAATTTTACAGAATAAATTTATGCGTTTTTTGACAAATTATTTGTATGTACTATTTATTGCATTATTCGTAAATGTAAAAAAAAAACCTATAGTAATTTATTCTAATAAAATAGAAGTTTTTTTGTTTTTTTGCATTTTTAAACTATTAACCATTTGTTTAATTGGTTTAAAATTTGATTCAATACTTAGCCACTTTTTTTGCAGAGGAAGCCCAGACGGTTTAGAAATAAAAGTATTTGCCTATATAAAATCTTATTAATATTTATATTATATTAAAATTATCAATTATAAATCTTATTAATATTTATATTATATTAAAGTTATCAATTTTAAATATCTAGTATACCTCATTTAATATGTTGATAACCGTTTAACAATTTCAACTGCATTTTTATCATTGCTGAAATTTGTCTCATCGTCTGTTTCATTAGATTTATTTCATTATCTGAAGTTGGATTCATATTTTTACACCATAAATTTGAAATTGTTGCTCATTACTCTGTCATTAATTAACTTCCAAATCGTTTGATCAGTTTTGAATTTCGATATACCTCTAATTTAAAATTTTAGTTCAATATACAGTCTAACCTCGATATAACGACTCTCTGTAGCTGGGGTGTTTGGTTCGATATATTGAAATACCTTATTATAATCTTGCTATAATGAATTCATAATTTTAATCAAAAAAATTCTTTGTTATAATGGCTGATTTGGTTTATCGTAGTTCAATATATTGAGATTATACTGTATATATATATTACTGGCTTGTGTTAGATTGCATGAAGGAATAGAATTTTAAAAAACTTTTTTTCATTCTCTTCTTCATGTCACCGTCTTGAATCTGTTCTTGCACATTCTAAGCATTCATAACAGCTCCTTTTTTCTTCAGAAAAATCTTTGGCTTTTTTAAATGCATGATAACTTTTGCAATGCTTGATTATTTAACTTGACATTATATAATGTTTGAGTGAAAAACAAAATAGAATTTTTTAATCAAGAGTAGAGCTTGGATCCGGTTATCCGTTAGATACAAATTTAATATGAAAACGGATGACCAGATCCAAGCTCTAATCAAGAGTTAATTATTAATACAATATAAGAATAATAATCATCATCATTATACTGTATAATTAAACCTGTATTTTAAATTTAAACTCAGTTAGTAACTTTTTTTTAGGGGTATACTAGGTTGTTGTGTTGGGAAGATTACTATGTCCAAATATTTTCAAAATCAATTGGACATGTCCAAAACCAATTGTGGCGCAGTTTTTTGTCCAGTTTTCCTAATCTGTTTGACTCATTAATCTCGTCATGATCCGAATCGTGATGAACTCAATTTAGAATTATGCTAGTAATTTATTTAGGTGATTTTTTGTGCATGTTTATAATAAGCTTAATTTCTAATAAATTAATTTGAACTAAAGGATTTGCATTTTCTATTGCGCTTCTTTTATTATTTGAAATTTCTGAGATCTCTATTCAGAATTTAAAATTTATTAGCCTTAATTCAGGCCATACTTTACTAGAACTCTAGTGTTACCAACCCAAAGATTTTATTAAAAGAACTTTGCTGTTAAATTAAGAACAGAATTTGCTATTATACGTATTAGGTAAAAAAGAACTTTGTTAATGCAAAAATTCACGGTTTAACCTTTTTTAGTGTATTGAATGTTTAGAGTAATGGCACTACGTAGAGCAGCTAAAGCTCCCAGCGCATAGGCAGGCACATAACTTGTTCATTAACTTTAACATGTGTTAGAATAGTTCTAGACATAAATTTATTTGTATCACTTTATAAGACTTATCGTTATGCATAACCTATTTGTGCGACAGGGCATAATATCAAAGTGCTATTTTTACAAAATGCATGTTTAAACAACTTTAAACAACTTTATTTATAAAATAAAATAGAAGATCATAGAAATTCCAGATGGGAGTAGTGTTAGTACACAATTTTAATAAGATTAAATAAAGCAGGTTTTGAAACCAAACCGAAAAGATAACCTGTTGCATTTTCGTTATATTCTAAAAATGGCTTTTTAGCATGTTCTTTTTCCCGTAAAGAATGAATCAAGTAATGCTTATACATTTTCTTGACAAAATGTTCCCATCGAGAAAGGAATAATAATATATAATGTGGCAGTTAATTGAACTAATGCTTCACGTAATCGAAATCGCATTTTTTTAAGTACAATAATGACTTCTGTTTCCAAAAAACGTTTGAATTTAAATTCCTATAATGTTATCGACATTGAAGACTGGACATATAATAAGTTAGTAGAGCTTTATCGTGAGAATTTAGAGAGAAAAGATTGGTATTACATACTGGAGAATATTAAAAAAGATCTTAAAAATGTGGCAAATTCGGAATCTGAATTTGACGAAGAATGGAGAAACAAGGCTTAGGAAATTATTGACCACTGGAAAGTAAGTATATGTTAAGATAGAAACTTTAACAAGTCTAAGGAAAGCTGACAACTCTTAGTTGCAGTTAAGAACTCTTGGTTCTCCATTTTGAGCGCAAGCTGGGAACTCATAGTTCTAGTGGCACACCTAGTTCACAGCTATGAACTCTTAGTTCGATGCTTGAGCGCAAGCTGTAACTCTTAGTTCCACAGTGATGAACTCTTTGTTCGACGCAACAATATTGTAGTAAATCTAATTATACATTTTATTTTGCTAAGTTCTGGAAGACTTTATCTGAAAAGAGAAAGATGAACTTGAAACACGATTTCTTACACTTTAAGATTAATAATTTGCAGGTGGGCTTAACTCTAATTTTACAATATAAGACAACTTAGTAATACTTTCTTTCAATCAAGTAAAACAACAAATGGTTGCAACAGGGAGTAACGCAATCCAAATTAGTAATAACCGAAAGCATCTTCGAAACAGTAATGGTGAACCAGTGAAAATTTCTAGTGAAAAGACTATTGAATGTGGTAAGAAGAGTAATAATTTTAGGCAATATATAAAATTAACTTGTGCTTATTATTATCCCTTTATCTTAATCCAGAAGACAAACTCCCTGAAAATATTAAAGAATAAACATCAGATCATGTTAAAAAATTCCTCGAATCCAGAATGAAAAATTTAGATTTTAACGAAACCGATGTTACGAAAATCAGAGGTCAAGATCTTACCAGTCGGGCGTTTCTTCGATTAACTGAGGAAAAATTAACCTGTAAGCCAGGTCTCTATGAACTAAAACCGAGTCCAGCAGAATCAATTATGGAGTTGGTGGAAGAACTAAATGAAAATTAGGTAAGTAATTTGGATTTTGCAAACATTAAGTCTTTATTATACCATAACTTCAAGTTTTTTGTCTTATTCGTATCATTTCTATCTTAAGCTAAAAAAGAAGCACCATCAAAGTCGTAACTTAACAAGCTTCAGAGAAATATGCTTCTTAACAATATATTAATAAAGTATTGATTCAACAGTATAATGATTCATATAAATTTGAATAATATCAAGTATATAGAAAAAAAACATTTATTGTCGCGAATAATTATGAAATCGGATTAAAATGAAATTTACGGTTTCTATTTAACCTCCTAAAACCCGCTTATAAATTCTACTCTAACGCTAACCCTAACACTATAAAAAATGTTAAAAAAATGTGTCCCAAAAATTTGTATTTTTCGGTGACTTGTTTGTTTTACATTATACTTAATCTGATTTCATTTTAATCTGTTATATTTATTGGTCAATTGTAATTCGCTTTGTTACTCGAATATTATGCAATGATTTAGTGTTTCTGTCATATGATTTTTCTTTTCTCTGATTAGCAAGTTACAGTTCATATGATATCGACCTCTTAGGCTTAATGTCACATAGTATTATACCCGAAAAATATATTCTGTTATCTTAGAACTCACCGATCACTTTACCAAGATAAATTTTCGATCATATATATATCAAGCAATATACCAAATTAACATCTTGATACAGGCAAACTAAAAAACGCATTAAAATAAAAAATTGAGAGCCCCTTCTTTATTTAATAAAAATTGTTGCCTATACAAATAAAAAAAATATAAATAAAAAATACAAATAAAAAAAATTTTTTAATTATCTTCTAGCACTATGATGATGTGGATAATATTTTGATCAGAATTCATACTGAAATGGTCATAGATTCTACTATCTGGATCCATATTTATAAGGTAGTCCCCAGGGTTAGGAGTAAACCTATGAAGCCGATAAGGAATATTTCTTAATCGGGGTGGTAAGCTGGCCTGAATTTGAGTTATTATTGTGTGAACATGGTTTCCATTAAAAACATTAAATTCTGTGAAAATAATATGGTATGTCCAAGACAAGACAATTAAGATCGATGTTAATATGGTCGCTATTACCTATTTTTCATATCTAAATACAAAAAAAATCAGTTTAATAGACTGTATTAAAACATAAATACATTACTTTAAAAATAAGATATGGTCAGGTAAAACAATTATATATGAGCAACAAAATAACATTATTGCTACCTAACTTATGGGTGGGAACTTGCTTATTTTATACCTTTTATTCGCTAGATCTAAAAAACAGACCAACAGAAAAAAATATATGATTAGTAATTATGTTACTCTAACACAATCTAGATCCTGCTACATAAAGCAACTCTGCTCGGTCATAAGTTCCAAACAATGAACGTATTTTGTTATTTTTTCTGGTGAAATTAACCTCCTTATAATCAATGATCTCTCCTATGATGTAAGAAAAGTTAACGATCTCGACGATCTCGGAGATGGCAGAGATTCGAAGTCCCTGTAACATATGAATTTTGATAAAACTATTAATTAAGAATGTTATACTCATTGCCCTTATAGCCACTTTCTTATTGCGAAATCACATATAAGGTAAGAAAGGTTCTAGTCACTATTCATTATTAACGCTACTTATTAACAATAAAAATCGACTGTGAGAAATTAAGGTAACACCGCATAAAGTTTAATGCAGGCCATTGATTATTAAAGCCGGTCAAGTTTTTATCGCACATTCGAACTGATATCAAGTGATCGCTATCGTTATTATAAAAAATATAAAAATATAGTTAACTATTAGTTAACTATACCCCAACAGCCTCTGGAGGCCATCGGCGGACCTGTGGGACCATTAAATCATATGGAGTACTTTGTATTAAAAGGGCCCATTTTTAAAAATGAGTTTTTGTTAGATTCATATAAATTTTGACATGCTTGATATTTTTCAATTATAAATGAAAGTCGATTTGCATAATGAAAAATAGAGATAATGTAGAAGAAAAATTATACAAGACAGTCTAAGGCCAAGCTTATTACAAGATTACCCGATAGTTACCTGTTACCTTTAACCAATAAAAATCGTAAAATTTGACTAATTCCAGATCAGTCCGAAAATTAAAACAAATGATTAAACTCAAAATGAAATATATGTAAAAATAGGCCTTTTAATATAGAATACTTCATATAATAGCATGACAGAATAAATTTGAAATGATTTACTATAATAGCTGTGAAATTAAATTATTTAGTTAAAATAATATATACATATATTTATTAAAATTTCATAGATTCTAGATAACTGCTGTTAAGCTACTGTTAAACTGCTGTTGGCTTTTTCTTAATAAATCTATATAAAATTATCTAAGCCACTGTCGAAGTGCTGTTGAGACATAGTTATAATAGTAGTAAAAATAATTTATTATCATAACATGAATATTAAGTAATCGTTATTTCAACCTCGACTAAAAACATATGTGGCCATTGTCAGCAATAATAAATACTTTTTTGGCCCCCATGTGATTCATTTTAGCATGGATCGGTGCTGAGATAAGTCTTATGATTTGATGGTTATGAGGTTATTCTTATTTCAGTATTTATGTATTTACAGGGTGCCAAATGCAATTTTTGAATCTGTGCCTGGTTATGTATGATTATGCACGATCTACAAATCAGATTTGAGAATCAGGTGTAACATAGCACAATCAAAACAAACGTTCATTTTGCCAAAAATCGCTTTTTTCTCAAAAATCTGTATAGTAAACCACTTTTAGTGCACTAACAAAAAGTTTTCTTTATGCGATTTTACTATAAAACCACTTGGCTTTTAACTTTATACAAAATACTAACCTTAACATTAATGAACTTTAAAGAATTTTATATAGTGATCAGCATCATGCATAACTGGGCACAGATTCAAAAATTGCGTAACAAATGTGATGTTAGATATTTGATCAACATGCTTTGCTATTTTCATTATAATACATAACGAAGTGTATAATGATAATAGAATTCTAAATTTGTAAATCGAGCTATATCGATATAGCGTGTAAAATTTTTACTATACCCTGTATACTCAAATATAGATTTTAACACTAATCCCAAATATAGAAAATGTGCGATTGTTGATTGATTTGTCATATTTTATAGTTGTAGTGCCGAATTTAGTAAATATGTAATTGTCTATTAGCAATTATTATAGCAAGTAAACAAGATGATTGTTGTTAATTTGTCATGTTCTATAATTGTGATGCCAACATGCAATTATTTGTTATGCAATTATCTGTTAGCAATTATCATGTTAAATTATTATAACACCAAATAAAGTGGTATGAGATTGTTAGTTAATTCGTGTTGAATAATCGTGATGCTGAATTTAGCAAACATGCAATTATAATGTAAATAAAGTGATGTGTATTTTTTTTGTTGATAATCATGTCAACTATTTTTGCAAATTGTCAAATTGTATAATAGCATATGATATAATCACATTTTTAATAAAAGAACTTCATCCAGTATAGGTACCTATAATTTAGTTTCATAATATTTTATAATATATCTCTATCTTATATAGTTTTATATTATATATAATAACTTAAAATAAACAACTCTTTTCACTAATCATTAAAACAAAATTTTCTGAAACACAAAATTAATAAATACTATGAAAGACACAAAAAGCTACTAAGAAACGAATCTCGGAGCTCTAAAAAAAGAAGAAGAGGATTACAAGAAACACTCAGTCTCTTAGGAGACTTGAGTAAAAGAAACAGAAGTAGCAAAGAAATAGAAGAAGTCGTAAAAA